ATTCTCCACGCCCATAAAGGTACATCGCAATGTCGGGCGGTGGCATTAACCGCCGCCCTTCTTTCGCAGTGCAGCATGCGGCGCGGTGGCAGCGATGGAATTTCTTTCTTTTTCTCTTCCCCTACTCTTCTTCGATTTTAATTCGATTTCGCGTGAAAAATGTGCGCTCGACCAACTGAACGAACGCGCGTAAACCTTTTGTAACGTTTATGATGCGTCGCGTGCTACGTTACACGAGCGAAATATTTCATGGACGTCACCTCTCGCGTCGTACTTTGAAAAAAAATCGAGATAACGCGTGAAGTATTGATAGATGTCGCGATTTGCGAATTTTATTTTCGAGAAATAACGTTCCATCTTCGTCCTCTCCGATTTTGCGGGATTGAAAACGTTCGCGTGAAATGAGAAAAGAGGCTTTTCTTGCATATTTTAGCGGCGTATCGATCAACGCGCCCTGCACGAGGAATCAAACGATCCGATGGGCCGTGTACACGTTGGTTGGCCCTTACCTCGTTCAATATCACGCAGAAACGACTCTCCTGACTGCGGAAAGCACAAACTGCGTACGCACGTGCGCGTGCATATATGCGCGCGCCCCGTGGAATACGATATCGCGAATTCGGTATTTACGAGCGGAACGATCGGCCGAGATTCGGTGATCAATACCGAGCTCGTTTGCGTGTTTCTCGTGCGAGTTCACTTCGGTCCTCCTGAGTGAATTCAAAATGCTGAAAAACATAGTCGGAAGTCTCGCTCGTTAAATCGCGGCTTCGTCGAGGAACCGAGCTTTATCGACCGGAACAATTCAATTGCATACAACGAGGGTCCTTTTCCTTCTTTTTCTTTTTTTCTTCTTTTTTTTTTCGTCACGAGAAATCTCTCATCGATGGCGCGACTGCGATTTTTTTTAGAAGCTTCCAATGGATTCCGGAAATGCATTTGTAGGGCTCGTTAAAGGCCGGACGGGGAGATCAATTAAAATACGGCTATTAAACACTCAATCCAATCAAGCTGAAATTTTCGACAATGCCGAGGACACCCGATACACGTTTTCGCACGCGCGCACGCACGCGTTTCGCGAAATTTACGATCGCTGTAATCCATCGTGACCTGATAGCTGCCGAAACGCGTAGCCCGTTTTCGACCTTCCGATTACGGAATCGCCGTCACCGTCGCTGCAGGTTGCACTGCCCCCATCGAAATGCAGTGTCCGAGCGCATTTCTACTACTCTGCCACATATAAACGTTGTCTCTCTATGCCGCCACCTCCGACGCACCCCGTCCTCGACTCATATCGATTACTCTCCCCCCACACCCCCATATATAACATATAAATTATATATTTGTATATTTATGCCAAACTTGAAGACTTGTGTCTATATGTCGTACACCCATACTTTGTTCGATCCATTTCGCCCTCCGTCACTCAACGAATCAACATCAACTGTTATTGATTGATATGTCTGTACAGCGTGTGTGTCGCATGTCATGTGTGTGTATATATATGTACAGAAATTAATGGCCGTTTCGTGTCGTGACGCGGCGTAGCTTGCATGCTTTCTTGACGGCGCGTAGGTGACGCGTTCCACCGCTACACGCAGATTCCCCCCGCTCCTGTCCTCCCATGTCACGTGTTCGTGTGTACGTGTTCGCGCATCAGTAAACTACAAAACAGGGATTGAAACCGGAGTAATTTTGGCGAGTTCGGATTTCGGCGCTGCCTCGATTGCGAAAATGATTTCCAAATACATATTCCGCGTTACCAGTTGCACGAGTAAGATGCACTTTTCACGTCCGAAGTACCGAGAATTGAATTCACCGAACAATTACAGCTCGCAGTTTCGATTCCTGATCACAGAGGAAACATACGCGTGTATATTTGTACATGTGTAAACGCCTGAATGTGAGTTCGTGTAAACTCGTGAATGTAAACTCGTCAATAAAGCCTCCATAGCGAATAGAGTTACATTCACATCACAACGAGCTCACAATAATCATGTATAAATTATGATGTACTGTGAAATTGTTAAAAAGGTCACATCATATTTTATTATTATTATCTTAATGTCATAGAAGTGTCAAGTGAGAGATGCAACTTTTATCACAATTACATATCGTATATAGCGATATCACAACTGTGACAATAAAGCGGCCATCCGCTCGTCTCACTATGATGTACTTATTTGTTGTGATATTACTGTGACTTTTTTGCTATAGGAGAGAGCATGATTAATTGTGCTCACTGTTTGAATCGGCTTTAAACGTTCTAATCCCCGTTTGTATATGTCGCGAGACACGAACGTGACTGTGCTTCAACCGTGACGATCCTTCCTCTGCATCAAGTCCACTGCCGTCATACTTTTTCGATGTGTGGTCTCATTTCGTAAAATCACATCTTCAGAAATGCGCGAGTAACTCTTGAAAGCTCTCCAAGCTGACGGTCGACTGGTGCCGACTGTGCAGCGTCGATATTTCGGAGAGTTTCGCGAATAAAAATGGTCTCTCGGAGATCGAGTCTGTAACCTCCGTACACCTCTAAAGATACCGGAGCGTTCATTTAATTATCGTTTACGTTGCAATTGAAATGACGTCAAGCGTCATTTCTAACTGATTACTAATTAATGTTTGCATGCATGCTTCCATTTGCTGTGCGAATTGAAACCGATATAATTGAGATGGATTTGTATATATATCAGTATTACGCATTTATACGGGGGGGGGGGGGGGGATGTTTGTTCAAATTGATGAAAGCACGGCATCGTAAGGTACATTTATCCCCGTACGCGGAAAATCGAATTCACTCACAATTATATCGGTTACGATTCTAGATTTTACAGGTGGGATCTGCGGTCGACAGCGAAAAGCGGCTCATTCCCGAACATAATCACCCGAGAGGCTATGATTATTAGACGAGGCGCTCGAATGCACATACAAGAAGCCGACCCTCCGGGGTCGCTTCTTAACGTCATCGGCTTGATTAAGCCTGTCGGATAAGAGGCGTTATATATGAAGATTGAATTTAATTAGTTAAAGGGCTGCGCCGCCGCTCCGCAGCGAGTGCATTTACATCTTGAGACGTCCATTCCCAATGCATCACGTTGGCGTAGTAAACCACATGTAGCCGCTTCGTGAATAAGGGTTGAACTGGGCTATGAAGGCAAAATATACGTGTCGCAATGAATTATGAGGGGCTAACTTTATGAGCCCGGTGTATCCGTCGTAATTTTCGCTACGAATTTCACGAAACAAGCATTTGCCATATAACTGGCAGTTTGGCGCTTGCTTGTCGAAATTATTCCGAGAATTATTACGGAGGATGATCGAGGTAAAGATTAATTTGGACGGGAAAGAGAAAAAGACGATGGCGAGAGGATGAATCGATTTGATTGGACAAGTCGATGACCGAATAGGAAATCTCCTCGAGAACAAGAAAATAAATGTGACGTAATCGACGGTGACGATCGAACTGCAAATGTGATTGCTACATCCCAATGGAACCTTCTTACAATTTTCTCAGTACGAGCGGATCTTTGCATATATTCAGAAAAGGAAGATGTACCGCTCTTCTCTCTCGAAAATACACGAAGTGCATCGAGGACTATTGAAGTTTTATCAAATTCGTTTTACCTTCATTGTAGGAATATTGGAAAATAACGTCTTTACGAATAATAATATCTCCCGTTCAAGAAATAACATTTACTGGTATCGAGAAGAACGAAAAGGAACGAAAAGGCGTTTGTGAGACTAGTGTATGAAAATATCGAAGTACTTACGAGTTTGTACAAAATTATCCCATTCGGTTTATGATTCACGTAGATCTCCCCGCAATAACACGCTTCTGTAAATGATTAAATATTGAATCGCTCAGGGCAATTCCATCCATCGGAAAAGGGCTCTTTCCGAAGCCTTCGATGGCCCATGGGAACCAGCCAAACCATATCCTATTTGGCTTCAGATCAAAGAGCAACAGATACCCGGCGAGCGACGCGGGACTTAAAAAAGACTGGAAAATCCTTTTAAGGTATCTCCGGCATCGTCACTTTATTTCCCGTCCTCCAATCCTCCTCGTGTAGATAGGAGCGGAGATGGAAGCGACAGAAAATCTTTTGTTCAAGATTGCGTTTTAATTACTTTAATATGATCGTACAGCGCGATATCCGCAAAGAGAAGTAGCAGACTGTAAAATCTTTTGATCAGCTCTTATCGGTCGTCAAAGTATAATCTGAGTTAACATTGAACGGCATATTTATACGAATCAAATTGTTCTTAAAACGTATATTTATGAAAATATATGATGCGATAAAAATAGAGACTATTGACTTTATTTTTTGCAAAGCTCTTAACATTAATATCTTTATAATATCTTGAACTTATAAGTGATGGAATAAAAACTTATCGAATTATCGCAAAAATGTTTTGAATCTTCGAAAATTTTATATCGCGATATAGTCTGAAGAGCTCCTCGAAAATTAAAATCAATCAATTTCCGTTCCTCTCTCCAACTTTCGCAAAATTAGTAGAAGTATATAATATGTTGTCTTATTAAACATGTGCACACGATACAAGTTTCGCGTAAAGCGGCCATGTGATTTGCTACGCCTTCGCGACGGAGCCGAGGAAGTTGTGAACACTTCATCGGAAACGAGAACTTCTTGACCACGTGAAAAGCAATTTTCAGCAACGATAAAGAGCCAGTTTTCCGCCTGTCGGCTGCACGAACGCGCTTTTCCAGGCGCGCACGGTGCGCTGCTTCACGAGAGAGAGAGAAATCATCGTCTCTTCTTCGCACCGTCCCACGGCCGAGCGGATTCTCCCGTTGCATGCCTTATCACGTAACGTCGGTTTGCAAATGCATCATTTTGTAAACGTATACAGTAGATGTAGACGTAGATGCAAGCGGAATTCATAGCTGCATGCGTACGTTTGGCTTCGAGTTACCTAACGGAATGTCCCTATCATGTAGATACGTGCCCGTCTTAATCAAACTTTGACCTTGGTAGCTCGATCTGGTACTCAACTCACAGGAGGGTGGTGACTTATCCGATTTCATCATGAACGGGGAATGGTACCTCATCGGTGAGTTTCACTGAGCAAGTTTACGACCCGGCCAATCAGACTTTGCCTCTGTATTGGCACGCGTATTTGTGTCTGTATTTGTATGTGTAAAGGAACATGCCTATAGAAAGCTGAGAATAAAATCTCGAATCGACTCGATATGCGTCAATGAATAGATTCTACAGTAATAATTCGGAAGTGTATAAAACGCTAATTCAGATATAAAGTATCTTTATGCATATATAAAGGATAAATAAAAAATTTTAAGAATTTTTTAGTTGATTTATATTATTTAAAACAGATATGTATTAGCAACGTTTAAGATATCAACGATTGTTTATGACACTTTGTCTCTCGATATTCTAAACTAAAATTTGATCGATGCGTTATTTTGATGGTGAAATACCAATTAAAGAGAGACTACTATTTAATTATTATTAAACTTATATAAAAAATTAATATAATAGATTTAATATTTTATGGTGTTATTATTCTCAGCGTGTTGATATAAACATCAATATAGTGTGAATTTAACACCGTGGAGTTGAAACTCATGGTATTAAATCCATTTACACCTTTTAATATTCGCTTCTACATGGAGAAAAATGGTTGAGTAACTTTGTCTTACAAAACTATAAGTCAAAATATTCTGGTTATCTTTTATATTAAATACTGCCAAATTTATGACAAACTTCACTTACCTAAAAATAAAAATGCTGAAAACGTAAGATAAAAAATACATTATAATTATAATAACTCCATTTAAGCGATTTACAATAAAGTAAAAATCAACATTATGAGCACAAACTCTCAAAATTTACGAAATATAAAAAGTACCTTATAGATTTGTACGATAGTTACACCAAAAAAGTAACATAAATTTTAAGCATAAGTAGACGCGCCTATCCCTACATGATCCTCTTATTTTAATAAAATTTACTAGAATTATATACTACTTTACATTTTTTTCTGTAGATGTATAACAATTAATTTCACTTATACTTCCATAAAGTATTACGGGAAGAAAAAAATGATTAGACATGGAAGTAGATATGGAAGAAAAGAAAATATAGTTTCAGTTTGACATAATTCGAATTTTCTCTCTTGCCGTTTCACGTTCAGACTTCATCCTCATGTGTTCTCAACACGTATGTACAATGATATGTACATCTACCATTAATCCGTCGCAATTTGCGAATCTGTTTGTATAGCGTGTACATTGTGAAAGTACGGAATGGGAATGGAATTACGAATAGAATGTAATAATATATTGCAAGGAGCTATTATGGAATTCAACGATTCTATTTTCGGGCAGTAATTACGCGGCCACATCCGAACAGCTACATATACAACATAATCTTTCATCCGCATTTTACTACAAATACAGACAAGGCAACTATTAATTCAAGTTATGCTCAATTTTAACGCGCAGGCATGGGATCACGAATCGTATACTTTTTTAAAAGCAATCCTTTATCTCCGAGATTTGTACACGTAACTAATGAACTTGTTCTCCGTTTCCGACTGACTCGACGTTACACGTTAAAGCATGATACACGTAAGCAATTCAAGTTATGACTTTGTCTTCGCGTGCAGTCGATTTATCGAATATTTGCAAATACAAATGTATTTGTTCTCTCGTCTTAACTCTGTCAATATAATTATATATTTAAAAAATTGAATGACCTCCTCTTTCTCGAATCATACTATTGTTTGCTTATTCAGCGAAAATATTTTTAAAATTCTACTTGTAAACTTTATCCTAACATTCTCATTCTAGAGCCATCTTCGGTAACAAATACTGGCTATCATAAAAGAAAAAGGTCTATCGCTGAACAAAATCTCTGTCATCCTGATTCGTTCCAGCTTCTCGACTGGATTCTGGAACGCAAATTTCACTGGTGATACGAAACAGCGTCATTGGTGTGTGAAGGAATGCTGATGGAAGCCGTTAAGAAACCACAACTCCTCCCCTCTCCTTCTCTCTTCTCTTATACCCCTCTGTCATGTACACGGATGTTGCATCCTAGAGTCCCTCGTTTCGCGCGAAGTCACGATCGATGTCGCGACTAAATAGAAATCGAAAGATTTTATGAAGCCCCCCATGTCTCGGTGATGCCGCAATGGCGTATGACTTTATGGCAGTGATTCCCTATCGCGACCTAGCATGGCGCTCTTTCCTTTCTGTATTTCTTCTTTTTCCTACCCGTCACTTATTGGTCTGTGTGTTCCTTTACGACTACATTCCTTGAGCTCGCATATCGGAAAGTGCTATTCTCATGTACGACAGTTTTCTTGAAGCGGATTCGGGACTGTCGACACGCCGAAACTGCAAAGAGAGATAGAATCTATGATAGTCTCGGTCTACCACATGTTGAAAAAAATCCTTGAAGATATCCGCATAAAAGAGAGACCCTTTAAAAGAAAGGTACATTCTCCTGAAACAAAATTGCAAGAGAGAAAAAACCAAAATATAAAAAGTAACATTGTACTTTATTAGTTAAAATAATTTATTGATACATATTGTTTATTTACTACAACAACGACACAACTAAAAAATATTGTCATTTTTTTAATTGCTTGGAAAAAAAGTAGAAACAAAGAGAAAAAGAAATAATTTTAACAGAACATATTTTCCTTCTGTATTTAGTAGTAAATAAATAGTAATATTTATTGTTTACACACTATAAAATTGTATTTTAAAATTAATATTACAAAATTTTAATGATTCAATATATTCGAACTTATTTTCTGGAAAATTTCGTTTACCTACATATGTTATTATAATAAATAAGTGATATATACATTTATATTTCTGTTAATGGTTTCGTTAATAAATTTAATGGAAGTGAATAAAGTAATCTTTTTTTATGCAAAGTGAAAGAGATAAATGGAAGAAAAATTTGAAGCTAATTAATAAAGCCCCGGCTGTTTAAGAAGTGACAGAGACAAAGTGTACTAAATTACGTTGCTAAAAATAAAACGCATGAACACAACTCGATGCCTTCGACCTGCTCCGACCGACAAAACGATACATTCGATGCTTTTACGTGTTGGTAGTCGACACTATTGGCACATCGACGCGGGTAATTAAGAGTGTCGCCTCTAAAGTCGTGTTTTCGAAAACACGTTAATTATCTCGAGGCGGATGCATCGAGCGTGGTCCACGCGTCGAAATACAAAAAAAAAAAGTGTTCTGAGGTACGAAGTACCTCAGCAACAAGTGAGTCTTCGATACCGCGATGTTCGAGATCGATTCGAGAGTCCGTCCAATCGGAAGCTATTAAGAAATCTTCCATCCACGAAAAACATATAGAATAGTCAAGGGTCTCTTTTAGCTTTTAATAGACTTTCACCATCTTCGAGAAAATGCATCGACAGGTATATTGTATTTAAAATTCGCGAGGATGGCAAGTTTTGCTTTACCGGTAGCTTAACTCGTCGCAATGGACTGGAACGGAAGTGGAAATTCGCAAATCCACAAGATCTTTCCGTTCCTTACGAGACGTCGTAATCCTAAGGTAGTTTAAAACAAGGCCGCGAGAAGCAACCGTAGAAAAATTGTTACGGAAAGGTCGACGTGACTCGCTCGCACGAATCTTTCGATGTAGGGTGCTGCCATGACTCGACAACATTTACAGCTCTCTCACGAGTTCACGTAGTCTCGCGATAAAACAGATGGATGGATGGATGATAGATAGACCCAACTTTATGTGTGACTTGGGATTTTAGTCTCCTCAAGACACAATACAGATATAGTAGCAAAAAGTAAGGAAGACGAAAGGTAGCAATAATAAAGAGATATAGAGATAGTGATACTATATGTATAGGCAAGTGCTTTATTATGTTCTCAGCAGAAGGACGTTTATCTTACAAAAAATAATAGGGTCAGAATATATAGAAAATAGAAAAAGAAAACGAAAGTGAAGTTCGTAATCGAGGAATGCAATCGATGGGCGAGCGATTATACTCCACCGTGTCGAAATGTATATCCATGTCATATTTAGTTCCTTGGACAGATACGTCGGCGTGTACATCGGTGCTGGCACTTTTTCCAGGTATGCCGGGAAAGAAGAACACGATAATGTACCAATGCTGCCCGGAGCCATACGTGGATGTCACGTTCACGATACAGATACGCAGGAGAACCCTCTACTACTTTTTCAACCTGATCGTGCCCTGCGTGCTGATATCGAGCATGGCCCTACTGGGCTTCACCCTGCCGCCCGATTCCGGCGAGAAGCTCACCCTAGGTAACGTAACTCTTAGCATGCCTGCCTGCACACCAGCCAGACACACCTCTTCCTTTCTTTTCAGTTGGAATTGTTACTGTTTACACGATATGTAATATATTCACAGTATACATTTAGCTTGGAATAAAAGCTCACAAGACACGCAGATGTTTAAAATAAATCACGTGTAAATTTTTTTTCCACTTCTTAAGACTTTAATTCTCGCTAAATTACTTTCTGACGGATGGAAGAGACTTTTCATTATGTTACAAAGTCGAAAACTTTGAAGTTAGTTCAAAGAGTCTTAGCTTATATTTTTATCATAATTTTTATTTGTAAAAAATTTGGTTAACTTAGCTTTCTAGTTATATTTTCAATTAGTAAGTAATACCTTATTATTTAATCATATAATTATCCTATTAATGATTCGATATAAAATAATGTACCTATATTTTGATGTATATTACACTGCATATATTACATATCAACACGCGTGTTATACGTCTTTACTTTTTTGTAAGTATACTTTCCGTTGATACTTTATACTCTCGGCGCCACTGCTGACTGTCCTACGTTTGTTTCGTTTTGACGACGGAAGGAAAGTAGTCAAGATCGACTCTACTTCGATCACGGACGACCAAACGACGTCGCGTAACGTTTTCGTCGGGCGACACCCGTGTAACGACGATCTATACAGCGAGACTCCATTTCTTTTTCCTCTCACGGATCACACGCACACTTTTCCGATTGTTGTCGTTAAATCGTTCAACGGGGCTCTCGGTGTCTCGAAAGCTCTGGTTTCCGTATATTTATTATCACCGATGGTGCGCGTGCACTTTCACTCGCGTATCGATTAGTTGAACATACCTTTGCAATTACACTTAGCCATCAACAGAGGTTTTATTGTCGGGTTGCTGGAGAAATAGGAGACTGTTATTCTTCGGATAACACTTTTACGTTAATTTCGACGTCTACTTTTCAACCATTTGTCGATTTAAGTTATATCGTTGTACTTAAATAAATCACCTCCTGATCCATCTCAGTCATCTAATTAAAATGTTGAAAAATCTTGATGTAAACCATGAATAAGATTTGAAACAGCTACATATTTTAAAATCAGTCGAGATTAGCATTCTTCGTTAGGTCTACATATTTCTCACTTTGGATAACTTGTCGTCTTATTATGTGTTGATATTATTTGGTGCATATGCATTTCTTGCTAGTTTCTTGCTAGACGCCAGTGCGGTCGCCACATTCCCTCGTAAAATCGCAATATCTATAGGCGCCTTCGACATCTCACAGGCTTATACGTCCACATTTACGAAGGGTCGTTCGAGGAAGAGTGCCGCGTGATTTGAATTTTGGATACATCGGGCAACCAGTACATCGCGTTAGCTTGTAAGGGCGTGCTGCATGTTACATAGCGCACCACGTATCTCGACATGTAAACGCCGTCGGTGATGCATATTTTAGAGGCTCCGAGCAATAAGCCTCTCTCGAACGACTCCTTTGGTCCTGCAACTGTAGCGGGCTACGTAAAATATTACGCGCTCTCCTCCACAATGGGCGCTGTACTCGAATTGGCCGGTGAATTTTGACGTATTTTCCATTCGAATACGCGCATCCGTCGACATCTGATCCATTTCACCAAAATGTCCACGTTGACGTTGAAGTATTAATCCATCGAGACTGACAAGTTTATTAGCCATTGAGAGTTCGAAGAATTTATAATTTGAGGTGGTCTATCAATCGGGAGATCGATCAAGCGTTGATAATACCGAGTCCCTCAATTATTCAGAATTAATACACGAATAACCAGCAGTGATCGTACCTCTCCACCGTTGGGCTCACCTTACATCAAAACGCCGAATGAGCTGCATAAAATGACATCCGCACCCTCGTGAATATTCATAGCGCACCGGCAGATCCAATCTCCGGCTCTCGATACCGCATCGGGAAAAGTCATCGACTCTTCTTGTCCAAGTTTTTGACGTGTCAGAGATAATGGGACTTCTCTCTGCGGGGTGCTCTGCGCGATTTCCTTAAGATTGCGCGGGAATTGTGAACAGCACACCGCCAGACTTCATAAAGCTGAAGACCAATCATTTCCGTCAATCAATTTTTATTTTTACTAACTTTTCCACTTATTCGTGAATTCTCCACACCGATCTACTGTTTTGTTTTCTTGTTGATTGTCTCGTGTGACGCTTTCGATCATGTTTTCTAAACACGCTGGGACTGTCATGTATAATTCCCGGCTTGTGTCCAAAGCAATCGATGAGCTCGATAAAATCAGGCGAGACATCAAAGCGGGATATTAGAGAACCGTTTCGCCAATGTATTGACTCCGATTGCAAACTGGTTCCACAATACATAGCGTACGTATACCTATATCTGTATATGTACCCATCAGTCGGTGTACGTGACTGTCGTAGTGACTCGCAGTTCGAATTATCAATTCTCGATACGTTCTTGATACTTCCTCACTTATCACTAATACCACCTTCATTTTGCGAGATCCTCTCGTTATTTTTCATACGGTATTAGTCGAAAATGCGCCCCTGTAATTATGATGGATCCTTTATGGAATTCATGTCGAGTTCCTCTTCGGCCATTCTCCCATCTGTCATATTTAGGAGAACTTCCAAAAGCTGTAGCAATTACCGGGCGATATCTCTGTGCAAGGATGCTATATTTTCCCTTTAATTTTTCCTCAGAGACCCCAAATTATCCACAATGCCTGTAATACAAGAATTATATTAATACAAATCTATTACATAAATGTAATACACATCAAGTACTTTAACAATTTTTTTTTCAAATGCGATTGTCACACAAAGAAATGCATTGGCATGTATTCTTATTATATTATTCTTTCTGTATTTCTTTTTTATGTCAAAAGAGAATTGCGAGTGTGACAAAATCTCACTTTGACAAGTCATAACCGCGGACGGGTTCAGAAACGACTTTTCTCATTCGTCGTTCGGGAATTGAATTGAAATTTCGTGTAGTGGTTTGGGAAAACGACAACCTAGAATCGATGTCGAAACCGATTCGTGGCGTCGCCATCACTGTCATCGTCCTCGTGTTCGAGACTGTTCTCGACAAACGTTATGGTGTTATGGTGTCAGAGACAAATGGACATAGCACACTCTTTACGTCGTCTATTATTTTCGGTAGCTCGCAAAACGCACCGTAAAAATATTTCCTCTTGGCACTCACTTGCTCTCATAGACAATAAGTGCCAAATCGATATTACTCCTATAAATGTTGATTTAAGATCGAAATTTGATTGAGTACATTCGGCTTTATTGTGACATTAATGAATTCGATTAAATTATACTATAAATTAGATTATGAAACAGGAGAAGAAATTTGAAACTTTCGAGTTTCTCCTGGGATGTTCGATCAAGATGCAGCTTATACAAGATATTCTAGAACCATTAGCTTTAATTAATTCTTTGACCAACTTGAATAAATTTTCCTTTAAGTGAAATGTCGAGTCATTAATATTACTCGAACTGTAAAATAGAAAGTAGAATCTTTTCAAAAATGTAGAATTATTTTTAATTAAAAGAGCTCAATGGTCATTAACGAACAATATTAATATATATGCACTGTGTTTAAAAGAAGATAATCTTTGTTTATTTAAAAAATTCAAAGAACACTGAACATTTCAACTGCATAGTTTTCATCAGTGATAAAAATTATAAAATTGACATAATTAGTTGAATCAATGAAATAAATGAAAATATAAATAAAATTAGATATTATACCTTATAGAATAAATACAGAGATTAGTAAATAAATATAAAGTTAATAAAAAATTGAAATTAAAATTGAAACAGAAAGGCCACATCAAAGTTGAAAGTGCTGTATAAATTAAAAGAAAGCAATGTAAAAGATAAATTAAATACAATAAATACATTATTAACAAGTACATTTTAAACATTATAAAGGAAACAATATGAAAATAATATATAAAAAACAATATATAAAGAAATGTCCATTATATATATTCGCCGTTTAAAAGATTAAGTCAGAAGTTATAAGAAAAATCTAAGTAATGTTGTCAGAAAGAAAGTTTAAATGGTATAAATTCTAAAAATAATATGCATAAATCAGTTTATAATAAAGTTTAAAAACTTATTTTACTTTTGATAATGTCATTTATCTACAAACTTTGGTACCTCTTTGAGTTTACCTTTGTTTCTCATTGTTGCGAATGCTGTGATACAGGCTGTAGAGAAAAACCTAAGAACTATACAATGTACAATAGTAAACATCTAATCGATATTGGTGTTGAAAACTTTTTTAAATTTACAATTGTCTTTTTACTATTATTATTATATGTTATACTTGTTGTATTCCAACTGATAAAATTACGTAAATTATAGAAATATTTAGTAATTACCATCATTTAAAATTGATCACTTAGTTCAAAAGTAATCGTTGTATAAACTTTTTGGATTTTTCTCTTAAAATAAAAGATAATACGATATATCTTGATTTTTGGTTTTGTAAAAATAATACATGGAAAAAACTGTTGTGCTATATAAACTTTTAGCTACATACAAATCTCAAAATAATTTTGTTGGACCATCAAAATAAGGATGTAGGAAGCTCAAACTGGTTTGCCAAAACTTTTTGCAGCATTGTCATCGTGCTTGAGATTCCTACAACTTTTATGATCCAACAAAATTATTTTTAAATCTGTATCTAACTAAATTTTTAGATACTTTAAAATTGTTTTTTCCGTTATCTTCTTCTTTTATCTTTTTTTGTTCATGAAAAAATTCAGTACATATCTTTCCGCTGAAATAGCTATCATATAAAAATTAAAATCGGACGTTCTGGAATAAATACAATATATTCGGATACTCGTTAATTCAAATAAGTGGGATCTCGACACAATAAAAAACATGAATATAAAATCGCACGAGATGCACTGTAACATCATTGTTGCGTTAGAAATTGACTGAAAGAGACAAGAAGCAAATGCGGGACGGGACCACATATTA